GAATGTGAATGCACTGATGGGTTGAAAGATTTGAGTTACTCTTGTGCAGCAAAACAAACAGAAAGCAAACTGGCAGAGAGGAAACAACTTGAGCAATAACTTTAGACTTGATGAAACCTCGCAGTGAGCGACAACCCCCTTGGAGCTTGGTTTGACGCTGCAGTGAAGTGAGTGGTCTTCTGTTCAGAGCAGCACCTGTGCATGTGTTTGGCTCTTTTGCTGACTCAACATTGGTTTATCATAGTCATCTGCTGTTTTATTTTATGTAGGCTCTTAAACCATACTGCTGCACTGAATATCTGAGTACATCTGGAACTTGATACTGTTTTTCTACACACTGTCTTCAAGCACAGTGTGAATGGAGTAGAGAGTTGTAGTTAGGTTTTGCTCTTCTTTCATTTATAAGGAGTGTTCAAGAGATTTCAGTTTTGGATGTGAGGTTTTGTGATTTGTTTCAGCTGATAGTAGTGAAAGGCATTCCATTGCCTTACAGCTTCTTGCAGGGAAGTTGCATTTTTGACTGCATTTATTGAATTTTTGTGGTTCCTAAAGCCCTGAACTTGTGAGTGAAGCCTTCACCCCAGAGTAGTCCATCTGATATCAGATAAAACAAATAATCTGCCTTCTGCCCAACTGCTATACAAACAAAGATACTGGCCTTCATCCTTGTGCAGTGTGGCAATCAGCAGCTTGATGTTTAAATACCGAGTTGAAACCTCTTATCCTTGAGATAGTGAAGACTTTATTTTCTTGAGAAATCCAAAAGTTGTTCTGGCTTTTGGACAGGATTCAACCCACTGTAGCTGTGTTATTGTCACTGAAAGGAAGAATGCATCATGACTGTGAAGTCTTTTGAAGTGATATATTCTGAACAGCAGTGTCATATCTGGCTTGTCAGAAGTCAGCCGGTTCGTTCTTCTTGACCTTATTTCCTCCAAGCCTTCTCCACTGGTAGTGGAGTTGTCAGATGTGTCCAAGGATGAATAGAGCTGTGTCATTTGTCTGGTTTTGGTACTTGAGCTGTGTCTTACGTCTTGTTTAGCTGATGACCACGTAGGGATATTGAAAGTCTTTTGAGGTGTAATCGTTCCTTTTGAGACTCCTGACGCGTGGCTCCTCCAAGATACTGAGAAGTTTTTGACAGGGGTTGGTGAATAATTTCAACCAATGTATTTCTTTTCTTAGTGGTCTGATTGGAGAATTTGAGATTCCTGCTCCAAACGATATGCTGCTGTTTTGGTGTCCTGTAAGTTTTCTTTAAAGCAGGACATCACCAGGATTCTGCTCTGTAATACTGCCTCACTTCATTGAGAATTTATTTGTTGCTTTTTATATTATCCTGTCTTTAATGCCATATGCTTGTCTGTCTTCCTGCAGCACCAGCTGATGTAAAATTGATTACATGTAGGCGCATGTAGAGGAAGAGTGCTTGTGGGTTTGGGCAGTGGGTGACTGGTGCTCAGGAAGATTAGCCAGGTTAAACAAAAGGATGACTTTGTCCTTGTGCAGTGGTGCAGTGGGCTGGCAGGCCTTGAGATGAGGTCCCTCTGTTGGAGTTTGGATCATTAGTCTGTATTGGGATGGGGTATAGTAGTCACTGTTTAATGACGTTGTGGGCTGTCAAAGAAGGTGGCTGCTCATGATTTTACAATTTTCACCTTTGCTGAACATCGCTTCAGGATTACGATTGCTACTGTTTATCTCTGTTGTTAGCCAAAAAATAAACAGCAATCTGTTAGGGTCTGTCCTCATTACTGTTGTCATGTAGAAGATGAACCTCATCAGTCTGATGTTTTGAAAACATGAAAGCAGTGTCACTGGTTGCATGTCTTGGAGTTGGTAGTTATTTCCCCTCCCCCCCTTTTCTTTCAGTAGTAAAACCACCTGTACATCAGCATGGAAACGGAAGTGTCTGCAGCTTTAGCTCACACGGTCGAATGCATACATTCTATTGTACTAATTTAACATTAGGGTATTCATACACTTATAATTCAGTTTATCTATATATCCTTTCCCCCCCGCCCCCGGCTTAGCTGTGTGTAATTTCATTCAGGTGCCTTGAGTTTTTTATAAACTGCATTCAATTATTCTGCTATTGTGCCCAGTTGTTTCCTATCCTTAGTAGTATTATTGTCTACCCTCATTTTTTCCCTCACCTTTCACATTATCTCTTCAAGGTTTGAGATTTCTTTGCACTTGTGTGATCTCATACAACATGAGATCTATTGAGCCTGCTTTGTGTAAATTTGATTTTTTAATAGTAATCTCCTTGAGATTTCATCAGCAGCTTCAGATGATTAAGCAGTACTCTGGATATAAGCGTGTGCTGGATAGTAGAAGCCTATTTGTTCAAAGATATCTTAATTGAAAAATAACTTGTAAAGGGAGACCATATTTGTAAGTATAAGCAAGAGGTGAAGGGGAGCAGACTTATGATTGAGTTTCCAGCCTCGATTCTGGATTTCAAGAGTTCTGAGTGCTTGGTTTGGTAACGTTAGTGTTGCACTAACTTAGGGTATTTTTTGCATGTGTGTGTTTGTTTAATCAACAAAGCATGAATTCCCTTGCTTCTATTTGTCCCATTTAAGTAGTGGCAACAAAAGAAACAGATGGGAGATGGGTCCAGAGCAAAGCAGAAATAATGGAGTATTTCACCCTAGAAGGGAAAGGGATACAAGAAGTATGGCCGAAGGCAGTGTAATGTGTTGGAGAGAGAAGTAATTCAGGGATGTTTGCTGCCCAGAGCTTCTGTCTGAGATCTCCGAGTGGCACACATACCTGAAGTGTTTGGCCACCCCTGCTATCGACACAGTCTTTAATGCTTTTTCTGGAAGAAATCCCTGTAGAGCTTTGAAGGGACACTGTCTAGGATTGTCAGCTCAGCTACTGTTCGACCTAAAACTGGCGTCATCTACTTAGTGAAAGAAAATAGAAGTCCTTAAGCAGGAATAGGACTGGATAAATTCTTCCCTTAGCCCTTGTGTATGATTATGCATGTATGCACAGCATGTGTGCATGCGTAGAGGTAAAGTGAAATAACAGTGATGCTGAATATTGCACATTCTGCAGACTGCAGCACCTAATTGCTCACAGTATTCTGGATAAATACATCCCTTTTTCCAAAACTGGCAAATGCATACATTCTCTCAAGATACTGAGAGAATTGTACTGTTTTATATGTATTGTTTATATTGTTTGTTTGTATTGTTTTATTTTCTGTACTTTCAAATCTGCTTGTTTATTAAAAAAAGATTCATTGATTAACTCTGAATCTTCCGGCTTGCCTCTCTTTGCCACCTTCTTCTCCCCATCAAACAACTAAAAAGAGTTTTGTGTAATGTTCTCAAAAATAATGAAAACTGATGCGTTCTTCAACATGTCTGTCCCTTTAAAGTAAGGTTTTACCCTGATAAGATGTAAGGGCTCCAAAAAACGTTGTTCCTTTTTTGTTGCTAGCAGTGAGGCTGAAATGTGTGACCTTACCTCAAACAACATTTCAGTGGCTATGCCAGCAGGCTCTGCTTGACCCTGTTTTTTGGTAGTCAAGTGTTTTCTTTCTGTGCTCTCCAACACTCCCTCTAAGTGACCTAATTTGAGTTCAGAGTTTGTACTGTAAAATCTAAAAGGCAGCCTTCAGTTTTGGACACTCATCGAGGAAATCAGGTTTGGGAATCATTGGAAGAGACTTCCAGGTCCATACCTGTTAAGTGTTTGGAGACCAGTCAGGCTGTTAATTCAACTTTCTCTTATGCCCACTGGATTGTCCAAATGGTGTAGAAAGTACGCTGGTTTTGGAAAGGACCGAGAGGTAGTTGTGAATTGAAACTCTCAGTGCTTTTGATACATTTGTGTTTTGCATTTCAGGAATGGCTTCTTTAGCTACTAGAATGCATTTCTTGCACTTCTGCATGTTTCAGACTTCACTGTAATGTATGATGGCATATTAAATAATGGTGTAGCTCTAGTTTATGAAGTATTTCAGGGCGCATTTCCTGTTCATAATCAAAAGCAGTATAGAGGATGTAATTTTATTTGTTTGGTCAGTGACCTCTGAATGTTCTGCTCTGCACAGGTCTTGTGCAGCTACTAAGTGCAGCTGCCAAAGTTGTGACAATAGAGGTTTAGTCTCTGTAATGGATGCTTAAATAGCCCTGACTTTGTTAGAGGCCAGGTAACTTTAAGCTGCTAAGAGAACAGGAAGGCAGTGATTGAGCTGTTTGTGTAGTGATGTTTCTGTTGGAAGAGATGTTCATTGAGCTTGAGTAAGGAGGATCGCAAAACAAGTTTATAAAATTTAAATATATAATTACAAATATCCCCTAAAGTGGGCCATAGAATTTCTCATGTCAGTCAGTGGTAAGCTGTACACAGCAGCTTAAATTTCAGCAGGTTTTTGAAGGTAGAGTATTTAAAGTCTGTTTTCATTCCAACCAGACAAAAATACCTACTGAAGGAAATTAGGTTTGCAGAAGGACAAAGTCATGAGCGTAACGAAGATGGAGGAATTTTCTTAAATAAAATACAAGAGTGATGTGGAGGGGGCCATTTCCCTGTCTTCTGGAGTTCTGCATGTGCTCTGTCTCAGGAGCCTTCATACCTTACTGTGCTTACTGGTGTCGGATGAGTGAGTGGGTGGCGGGTCTATGTATGCTGCTTTGGACGTGCAGTTTGACCTGGATTTTTGATGATATGTTTATAATCAACAGCACATAAAGATTCTCCAAACTAAGCCAGACTTAAGGAATCTGCACTAAAGAGATACTGAAGTTCACAAAACCAGCCTGCGGAGCCCCTCTCTCACCCATAGAGCCTCCATATGTGTTCTGCAAAGGGCAGTAATTTTCTTTGACAGAACTATGTTATTAAACATAGTCAGGGCTGCAAGAGTAGGGTCTGGTTGCAGAAGAACTAGCACTGCATCTGGACAGAGGGAAGCACAAGCTTCCAGCTCACCTGTTCCTTTATGTCTTTCAATATGACACCAAGAAGTTGTCGCAAAGATGTGTGCTGATGGGGACAAATCGAATCCTTTTAAAAGACTGGCTGTAAAGGGCCTGATACACATCCTCAGGAGCTCTCACAAGCTTTGAGGAATTTTCTGTGGCCTCCAGGCTGATACCCATTAAGTGGAAACTGTTTGGAGCTTGTGTTGTACAATGAACTCTATTGGCCTTTCTCGCCTAAGTACCAGAGTAGAGTATTTGCTGTGACTTTGTACATCTGTGGGTTAAGTGTAACTGATGGCAGTGAATAAAGCTATATGGCATGTTTAGTCCATTTAGCTAACAACAAGCATATAACGGTAAACCTTCTTGAAAAAGCTATTTTTTGAGTCAAATATTAACGGAGGCAAAGCTTTTGTTTTAAAAATCTGTTGCTTTTGTTCAGCTTAACTACTGCTATAAGTATTTTTACTCCTAAAATATTTTCTCCCACATTTTTAAAAGGTGTTGAAGGAATTTTGTAACTTTCCCTGAACTTTTATTTTGCTCCTTTAAACCAATGAAGACTGTTTTCAGCAGCATATATAACAACTTAGCATCTATAGGAAAAAAGTGCAATGAAAGTTCTGCATTCAGTGAGATACCCTTTTGTAATCCCGTTCTCTTTGGATGACTTGCTCACAGAGGCAGATACCACCATTTCCAAGAGTGCCTTGCAGGCATCTGCTCAGTTTCTCTGCTCCTCCAGTCATCCTCAATGAGAGATCCTGGGTAGTTGTGTAGACAAATTAAGATAGGATGGAAAGACTGGATTTCTTTACCTAATGCAGTGATTGGTTTGTGGTTAAGATGGGAAGAAAGAGCTGGGACTGTGTAAACACAGACTGTATGAAAGAGGAGTGATTACACAAACATGTTTTCCCTTCCTTGTGTGATAAATGATTTAGCCTCAAACAGGATTCCAATTAAAGTTTACAATTTATTAAATGAGTAAATGCAAGCAAACAGCACTGAGTGCATGTGGAGTCACTTGTTATAGCAGATACATTCCTCTGATGTGAAGGTAGCAGATACTGGGGTAGTGGAGGTCTATTTTGGACATTAGCAGGTAATTGTACCCCAATACCTTAAATATAAACTTCCTGGCTTTCCCAGAATGGTATGTTTTTAGATTTTTACATACTTTTTTCATATTGCTGATAAAGAAAAGTCTGATAAACCTTGGTAAGGGCTTAGAGGAACTTTTGGATGAGCTTGGCATACTTAGGCAATACTGTTAAAGAGATGTTAGCAGAACTCTAAAATAGGCTTTGTGTGAGAGATTTTTATTCTTTTTATTGTGGTAAATTCACAGTATAAGTAGAAATTAATCTCTCTTTCCTTGGAGATTAGTTTCTTCAGGGAAAGTGAGAGATCCACATATTTATGACTAGAGCTGTGTCCAGCAAAATTTGTTTCTTCACAAGCTGTACTGTTTAACAGCAGATACTGTAGTGTGAAACGTGTGATGAAGCAAGCCCAGGAAGGACTCTGTGACAAGAGGTAGAGCCTGCCCTGCTTGAGAGCTGCACTGATGGTCACACTGGCTATTGCCTCCTATCAGCACAGGAGGCAAATGCTTGCACACCCACCTCCAAAGCTGAGTAGGGCACAAGCCTGTCTGTATGTCCACTGCTTATGCTATTCAGGGAATGGAAGTCACTTTCTTCAGGCCACTTCCATGAGGCTTAGGTGAGAAGTTAAGAGGTGTATTTATGTTTTCTTATGAAGCTGTTCTAGATTTTAGTTGAGATGGTCTCAGTCTATTAAGTTGATTTTGCTAAAATAGTAAGTTGGACTAATAATTTGCTTCTCTCCGATGCCCTTAAATTTATAAATGTGATTTTTAGAAGCTTGTTGAGTAAACATTTGCAAGAGAAAAAAAGATAACTTCTTCCTTTCGCTTTTGTTTTGTTTGTTTTTCCTTACCCTGGCAGTGTTTTAGAGCACTTTGCTGCAAAGGACCACCTCCACCACGGCCTGAATATGACTTGGTTTGCATAGGCCTCACAGGTTCTGGCAAGACAAGTCTTCTGTCACAGCTTTGCGGTGAAAGCCCGGAGAATATAGTGTCTACCACAGGTAGGATGCTGTCTGTACTCCGTGGTATGCTGTAATGTAGCCCAAACTTAACTTCCAGAACACATAGAAAAGGTGCTAGAGAACTTCAGCTTAGTTGTCTTACTGCTGAAAGTACCTAATGGATTGCTTTGAAACTACCATTACCTACTCTTTCAGTGTTTGGTCATACATTGGGGAATATCCATGAAAACATACAATTTGGAATGTGTTGAAAGTCAAAACATACATGGTACTGTAATGAAGTAGAACCATTGGAAACATACAGTAGCAGTGCAGTGTAGACACACATTAAAAAGTTTCTTTCTTTTTTGTTTTTTTTTTTTTGAGCAGTCTTTAAGCAGTCTTGTTACAGGGGCAGAAATGAAGTTATAAAATAGAGTGGCACGCTGATGCTCTGAAACTTAAGTTGGGATTTATTTTTTCTTATAGTTGGTCAGTACTACCTTGTGGTTTATGCTAGCAATGAAACAAATAATTGTAATGGAAATGTCTATTTCTGGTAATAATCCTTTCTTTTTAGATCAGCAAAGAAACTTGTTTATGTAGTAAGGGCAGACTGAGATCAGAGAGTCTGTTTACAGTAAGTTTTCAGTGGCACTGAGAAGATACATAAAAACAGACACAACAGCCACAGCTAAAAGATACCTTAAGTCCAAAAAATTTGAATATGCTGCTGATACAGATGAACCAGAATGCCTAAGACTGAAAAGGGTATTTTGATTTGTAGTGGCTTAACCCCAGCTGTCAACTAGGCACCACACAGCTGCTTGCTTACTCACCCTTGGTGGTTTTTTTCGGAAGAGTTTTACTTACTTTTAGTAAGTAAAGTAAGTTCTTACTTACTTTTAGTAAGAAAACTTGTGGATTGAGATAAAGACAGTTTAATAGGCAAAGCAAAAGCTACACATGCAAGCGAAGCAAAATAAGAAATTAATTCGCTACTCCCCATTGCCAGGCAGGTGTTCAGCCATCTCCAGGGAAGCGGGGCTCCATCACACGTTCACAGTTACATGGGAAATACAAACACCATCACACCAAGCATCCCCCCCCTTTCTCCTTCTTCCCCAGGCTTTATATGCAGAGCATAACAGCATATGGTATGGGATATCCCTTTGATCAGCTGGGGCCAGCTGTCCCAGGTGTGTCCCCTTTAAAGTTGGTGTGCTCTCCCAGCCCACTTTCTGGTGGGATGGTGTGAGGAGCAGGAAAGAGCTTGACTCTGTGTAAGCACTGCTCAGCGGTAACCAAAACATCAGTGTGTTACCAACATTATTCTCATCTTAAATCCAGAACACAGTATTATAGCTGCTGTTAGGAAGAAAATTAGCTCTATCCCAGCTCAAACCAGGACATGCACAAAAAAAACTTCCCAAAACACCCCAGCCAAACCAAACTAAACAACAAAAATAAAAGCGCCAGAAGAAAAAGACCAAAACAGAAGCAAATGTGTGGAGTGAGAAAAAGGAATACCTGACTGCAGAGTTCAGAAAGAGGACAGATTAGGTCATAGAGGTGGAAGAAATCTGATTCTGTGACTGCAATGATTTACTAAGGTTGGTTTGCTGAGGGAGCAGATAGTAAGTGTTGTGTGAGTAGCTTGTATATAGTTACATGGCTTTATAGTGTAGCTGTGGTTCATGGGCTTGAATTTTATGATTGTCCCTTAGCAAGCCTAACTGTTTTTCAGTGTGTCATTGTTTAAATTACAGGAACATAAGCTTATTTAATACAAATGTAAGTAAACCAAGTAAAATATGTAGTAGAAAATACTGGGTTTTTTCTGCGCTGAGTAGTTAATCCCTTGCCTTCACAGCGGCATGGTTGGGAATGTTAACATAGCACTTCACTGTGTGGAGAAGGTGTCAATGCCTAACTCAGAGTTAGAAGGAAAGTGTAGAGTATTACAGCTTTTTTTTCCCCTCTACCATATGACTGGTAGTCTGAAATGTAAACTTAAGTTCTGCATGGATTAAAAGATTGTTTTATAAAGGTATATTCTGTACTAACTCCTTACCAAATGGTAGATGGCCTGGGTGGATGTTTTGTGCTGAATTTTATGTGTGCCAGCTGTTTACAGTATCACTGCAAATTTCATTGCTCATGCTGATTTATTTCCCACTCCCCCTTATAAGTGATACTTTTACACATCATATTGAAACAGAATTGAAACACATGTAAAATCCTGGTTCTTGATGAAGAATAGTAGTCTTTTTCTGCATGTATGCGACTGATTTCAAATGACCTCTTGAACAAATGACTTACTAATACTCTTTATTTCTTTTCTTAGGTTTTAGTATAAAAGCCGTGCCATTCCAGAATGCCATCTTGAATGTAAAAGAACTTGGAGGTACAGCATTTATTCATTTGATTATAAAAACATGCAGTGTCTAAATCGTATACCAGACTGTTAGGTGTTGTAAATTTAAAAATGATACATCAGTGTGACTATTTAAAACCTGTGTTTCACCACAGCAGATGAAATTGAGAAAAATTTTACAAACTCTGACTACAAAGAACAAAACATAAAAAGCAGGAGGAGTGGAAGGCTGATAAGTGTGGTGTGTCTCCTTAACATAATTTCTTGGATTGCAGAGGTTAAGTTACACAGAAGTCCAAACTTAACCATAATTGTAGTATGGCTTATGGGTCAGATCAAGGAAGCGTGTTCCCTTGCATTTATTGTACGTATAAGCTTTTACTTCTGTGCACTGGCTCAGGTACCTCTGAACATTTGGCAAAACTACATGCTTGCTGCACCTCTGACAGTGTTGTGAAGGCAGCCAACTTCCAATGAGTTATATTCCCTGAGATCTGTTCTCTTATTGGTTTTGCTGGGTTTTGTAGGGATCATTGGTTTGTGTTTGTAGTTTTTTAATAGTCTGTATACAGGTAAACTATTTGACTGCTCAGTTCTGACCCTGAGTCTTAAGTGGCCAAGAGACAGCTCTGTTAAAAGGAAGAAAACAGTCTCCTAGTGAGACTTCTTGTGGAGTCTCATTTAATCTGATGTTCTTCTAATTAAAAACCACATAGGTCTTCTTTATATTCTAGGATTTCTGTAGATCTTATTTATTTATGTAAATGTAGTAGAATGAATCTTGAGGATGTTCATTAGATTTTCAGCAAGGTTGAAACCTCTCTTAAGTGCTCTGGAGTAGGAGTTAACTTGATTCTATTTTGATATACCAATAATCCCTTCCTGCTCCCTAAGAAATTAAAAAAAACAACCAACCATTTTCTTCCAAAAATTTAGTCCAAAAAATAATGTGTGTAGTTCAGATTACTGTGAAGATGTGCCCTACCCTCGTCCACGTTCTTTCAGGATATACTATTAAACAGGATAACTGGAAATATCTTTCTATATTACACAGCTAAGTAATGGTACAGAAAGAAATCAGATTTGATGGTTTCCAGTTACGGTGCAGGAGTCTCTGGAGGGAACTCGTGATGAAATTGTGTATGATGAACATACAGGATAGTGTGGAAAGACTGGAAAAAAAGGGCAGATTATAACATTTCTTGTTCAGAAGGCTCTAACAGTGTTTTGCTGAAGTTTTGGATGCTGAACACTGAGGTTTATTCTCAAGACAGGTAAAGAAGGTGCAAAGGCTTTTTCTTTGGTTCTAACCAGCCTGGAGAGACAGTGCCTGAAACCACCATTTATTAGTGTGTTTATTCAGTCTTTTGCTGTTTGTTGTAAAAATGTCAAAACAGAATGCGAAGTTGTGGTATCTGTTGTGACGTAAGTACTTATTCAGGTCTAAATCAAGATTATAGGTCCGTTCTAGAGACTAATGAATAACCTACACTTGTTGTTTTAGAATAAGTATTTTATAGTTCAGATTGCTATCTTGTATATGGAGGCTTAGAAACTACCAGTGAGATGCCAAATACTGAGCCTGGACAAATTTAATATAATGATTCTGGGTGTAAACTGCTCTTTTTCTTCTTACCAAGTTCATAAATACTAACAACATGTTACAGGTTTTAGTAACATTCTCTGTTTTATCTACTAAAACCTATTGTTTTATGTTTGTGTTACATTTTTGTAATTCTCCCAAAGACCTTTCTCACAAGCATAAAGAATCAGCATGCTCTGTAGTCCTCTTTGAACCTTCACTTAAGACAGAATGTGTTGAGTGTGTAGCAGGAGTGAAGTGGTTAACGTCAGGGATGTGCGAGTTTCTGGCTGCCCAGAAGAGAGAGACGGGAATTGTCTTCCTCACTGCTGTTCCTTCTTAAGCTTCATGACCAAAGTCATAAATTCACACTCTTAGGCCAGCTAAATTAATTGTCTAGGTGAGAGCTGGAGAACAAGTAACTTTAAATAAGAATGGTTAAACAAAGCATGAACGTTTTGCCTTATTTTGGAAGTTAAGAGCAGAAGAAGAGAGAGTAGGAGGGGGAGTCACTGTCATGCAATCCAATTTGAATGGAAAATTTAAAGTTGTCAGTATCTGTCTTGTGGAAAAATGAGGGAGGAGGGATAAAATAATGTTAAGCTATTAATTAGAATTTAAAATTTGCAGTTATGGGAAACCACAGTCCTCCTTTGCTCTGTGGAGGTAGAAGGGTGTACTGAGCAACTAGCAACATAGCCTGGAAGAGCAGCTAAAATTTCATCTAGTCAGTCATCAGAAAAACGATCCCACAAGTAAATGCCAGCCTAAGTCATCTTCACGGGGCAAACTAACACAAAGCAATAAAATCTCTGTACTGGGTTTGACTAAAAGGCAGTTGACAGCTCTGCGAAATCTGGTTGTGGAGTGCATGCAATGCCATCTGTGGCATAGCTGTGTCTAACAGATTACAGAACGACTTAGCAGATGAAATTTTTAGATGACCCTGATGAGCTGTCCAAGCTGTGAGTTGCACAGAGAGCTTCCTAAAGCGTGAAAGTGAGATCTGTTTGCGATCAGTCATACTCGGCCTGCTGTTCAGATGGTGCCCAAGCCCAGGCTCTATCACGTGGTGTCCTCATTTCATAGATAAGAGAGATCATTTGCACCTGCTGGTGGATCTAGTTAACATCAGTCCTGAGAAAGCTCCAATAAGAACTCTATGTTAGTGATCTTCCCACTGTTCTTAACAAATATTGTTCTTTTTCTACAGTTAGCTTTTTACAGCAACCTGGTGCCTATCTTACTAAAAACAAGTAGGAGCCATGAAAGCAGTGCCTATCAAAGCTATGTACAATATGATAAACAGACCTCAAAATTTCCTAGTTACATTTTTTTGTGGACTGAGTGGGCCTTTTTTTTTGTTGTTAATATGATGTTTTTTGGAAAGCTGAGTATAACCTTTGGTTTGCTGTGAAGCCTCTGCCTCCTGTTGGACTTGCAGCTTCCTTATCTTCAGGCTGAAGTAAATGATAGAGTGTAGCAGCCTAGTTTAACATTTTATGAACTCTGTCCCCAAACAAAGAAAAATGTTTTTATTTCTAATCCATGGCAGAAAAAGCCTTTGTCTTTTCAAAGGCGAAAGTGGATTCAGGCTTTTGTGATCCAGTCAGCAGAAGGGGTGGACAGACAGAAAGACACAGCTATGGTGGACTTCTGCTTTCTTTACATGCCTACTGGACTTAAGTGCCATACAGAAAGATGTGTTTTAAGCTTTATTTGAGGTTACCTGTGCTGTTACCAAAGGCGTGACTGCAGCTCAGAAGAGGGAACCTCTGAGCCTTGCTTAGTGCTGGCGGCAGTGGTCAGCCTGGGGGCTGTGTCCTGGTCCTGGCTGTTACTCAGTTCCTAGTGGAGGCAGAGGAAGGTCAGAGATGAGGTACTGAGTAGGGAGGAAACTGGCAGGTTATTTTCTTGTTGCCAACCATTCTTTGCCAGCCCCAAAGGACTTAGAGTTTGTGCCTTTAAAGATGAAATTTTTAAAATCCCCAAACTTTTTTTTTTTTTTAAAAAAAAAAAAAAAGGTGATTTTGCGAATGGCTGTCATACCTAAAGTCCAGTTCAGTGTGGTGTGGCCCCGCTGTGAACTATGAAAGCTTCACAGTTCAGGCTTAGATAAATGTTAAAGCATACTGCAGGGGACGTATTTTCTTATCTTCCTTTTAAAATAATCTGTAAGATTTTTTAATGAACTCTTAAAATTAATTGTATGTTCCTGATTAGGATACTTTTGTCTCAAATTGCTGTTTATTTTAATAAGATAGGAAAATACACAGGCCTAAGTAGATCACACTGAGTTTTTGCCGGCAAGTGTAAATCTGATGTTTTTAAAACTTCCATGTGCTTGCAACCTAAATGTTTTTCTAACAGTTTTAAATATCACAGTAGGTAGAGAATCAAAGTTGGCGACAACACTTAAGTTTCCTAATAGGAAAATTAGTGAAGGCTTGATTTCCAGATTAATCTCACTGGGGAAACCTGGAAGGCAGACAAGAGATGGCAGAGATCATTTCCATAAACTTGAGTTTGGTAAGACAAACAGAAATAAGCACAATAAACTAAGTGTATTTCTGATTTTTTTATGTATTGAATATAAAGGCAGAGAATTTACTCCTCAACATTTTGTTTTCTTTTATGCTGTTCAGGTGGTTGTTGAATTGCTGCAGTGGATGTAGCTGATTGAACAATCTCAAAATGTTCCTCTTTCAGAAAAAAAACTGTTTCCTGCTGCCATGCTTTGTGTATGACTGCAGGCATGCACTGCCTGAAAGGCTGGAGAAAGCAGGCTGCAGTCACTTGGTATTAAACCCTAGGACGCAAAAATGCTGGGACTTCTGAAGCTTGAGGAGGGTTTTAATTTAGCATCTGTATGGCTGCTTAGTGATAAGCAGTGGCAATAGAAGTTAACCATAAAATGTTGACTGACATTACATCCTTGGGAAACTTACATATCTTCTGTATCTTATGTAACTTATGTGTGGATGTGTCTGTCAGTGTGGACAAATTGCAGGTACACAGAGAGTGGCTATCTTGGAGAAGATTTATAACTTTACTTGTAATTAAGAGGAGCTAACAGATTGAAAAATAGCTACTGTTAAAAAAGTAAAAAAATTATGCTGTGTTTCTTCAAGGGGGAGTACTGGGAGATCTAAACAGACAGTATGCCTGAGATAGACAAGGGGCAGTCACATCTCTTAAAAATGAGTTAAGATTTCAGGTATTGTCCTGATTACCTGTCAGTTTTTTAAGAAGTGATGGAAAGTAAAGGTAAAAGCCCTATGTCGATTTAGAAACAGTTACTTAAAACTTCTTCTCAGAAGGTTTTCTTGGGGCAATAGGGTAGGGTGTATTTAAAAATTTTGCAAGAACAGACAAGAGATTTCTTTTTCCCTTCCCTTCCTTCTTACTCCTTCACACATGGGCCAGATTTTTCATGCAAAAAGGTTTTGTGCTGCAGTTGACATACTCCTTGGCACCTTATCACCTTTTCACTAATTATAAACTGTCTTTTTAATACCAGTAGAGGAATTATCTGTAACTTTGAAAATCAATTATAAAACCTTCAAATTAGGTATATGTCTTTACTTCAGGTGAGGGGATGTTATATTTGAAGTGGTAGAAAACCTGTTTGCAGCCTGCATTCTTTCGTGGCCCCAGGTTAACTGTTTTTGGTGGGAACGAAAGAAAAGGTTCTTTGCTGGATTTGAGGCTGTGACTTCTCCGGAGCTGCGATGTCTTCTGAGGTGAGCAAGCACTTTAATGCACAGGCTAGACTGTACTGAAGGAAGGGCTGTGTGACATTCATTGTGCTCTCGATGGAGACTTACTGCAGGCTTGACAAGTAACAAATTTGACACCTTTAAATTGCTCTCAGTGATTTTTTTTTCTGTAGTGCTATGTTAAGTTCTCCTGAAAGTACTAAAAAGGAGAGAGTTGAAGGTAGCCTCAGACTGCCCCGAATGAAAATGTAAACAGAAGTATTCGTATTGGAAAGGAAGATTTGCAGCTCTGCATTTTTGCGTGATATTTACAGGAGTACATAGTTGTGCAACCTGTTTTGGATGTGTATTAAACTGCACATAGCTCACAAACTCTGACCCCCAGCTTCTAAGGGGCATTTGAGAGGGTACTGTTGGCACTGCTGCAAATCATAAACTGTGTTAATATGGACACACTGCACTCTTGGCTGATAGTCAAAGAGAATTTATTTGGTATTTTAAAAATTACAAATGAAAACTTTCTAAAAAATTAGAACAATTATTTGAATAAACCTGCCCTGTAGTCTTTTCTCTGTAAGAAGAGAGGGCTTTTTTTTCCTTTTATAAAGTAAGCCAAGCCTGTGTTTGACTGAATACTGCCTAGTAGTGTGATTGTGCAGTGTGTTCTTGCACACAGTCCCCCCCCAATTTATTTGTAAATAGGATGTTGTTGCTAGATCACAGAACTCAGCCCACTCTTCTGGGTTCACTGCTGAAGGAAACAAATCGTATGCCCGGGTGTGGAAAATGCTACACTGAATCACGCACTTTAGTGAACCTTTCACATAGCACATTCGCTAGGTCTGGTGTGAATTTCTTGTTATGTTTTCTGATGTTCTGAAGATTTTACCCAAGTTACTTCTTTCCCTTTCTCTCTGTTTCTCTCTCTCTTTCTCTGTTTCT